TTACTGCCACCAGTGGAATGAAACAATCACTTTCTCTGATTTATATCCTCTATTGTAGTTAAATATTTACACAGTATCAAGATCTTAGTAATTGAATGGCTAACAGATAGGTAGCAAGTGTTTATACACCTCTGAAATAGCCACGGGGCCGTTGAGGCAATGATATTTCATACTGATAAAAGGTCTTTTAGTAAGAAGAAACTTAAAGCTCTTTCAGCTCCATTTTGTTCTCAGGGATAGCATTAACTCATGCAGATTTCAGTGGGTGCTGCAATTTTCAGACTGCAAAAAAAAAAAAAAAGGACCCACTTATTTCAGAAAAAACACTTGTGCTGAAATGAGACAATTATGGAGGAAAATAACAGATTTCAATTTTCAACAGTATTGTTGAATGCTTCAGCTAAGAAGGCAAGAATAAACATCAGATTGGTATCAGCCTTTGCAGGAAACTGAAGCTAGCAGATTTAAACAGTACCTACCAGTATTAAATCAGGACCTTTTTCCATTCACTTGCAGAAAGGTATAGTTACATATTTCATGACCCATAGGTAATGAAAATTAGCCCTGTTTCCTGAAGCAAGAAAGGATCATTTAAACTCAACTTCTTTTACAGCAGTATTCTGAGTTTCTAAGTAGAGCTGATCTGGGTTATGTATTGTTAGTCTAGGGCTGGCCAGTGGTGTCTATTTCACAGAGAAAGGAGTTGCTTGTGACTTCAAACTGTGTAGTTTTATAATGAAAGATATAAACATTTTTAAAAACAAAATAAAACTGCATGGAATCTTTCTACTTACATAGACTCCTCCTTATAATCACCACTTGGAATTGTCAGATTTTTGAACTGCTGGGATTCAAATGGGACTAAAAAGGTAAAGAAAAAGATATTGATTGGCGAGTTCTTATTTTGTCTTTTGATTACAAAAATCTTCACAGCAGGTGTCTGTCATGTAATTCTAGAGTGAATGTTGTGAAGTGAAGAGAAATGCTAAACATTTCGGGTCCTACTTATGATAGTATGACTTCAGATAACAGAAGAGAGAAGGCTATCTGGGATTCTAATAAATAGAAACAGAATTCAGTCCAGACTAATTAAGACTAAGTATAATTTCCAATATAATAAATGTTATTGATATCTGGATAGTCTATCTAACCCTACATTAAAAAAAAAAAAAAAAAGTAATGATGATTTTAACTTTCAGAACAAGTTTCTCTAAGGTCCAGACATTTAATTTGTATGCTAAGTGAAACATGCAACACTTAAAGTTAAAGGGGATGCTGCTGCTTAGAGATCACAGGGATTTCTTGGCCTTACCATGCTAGCTGGGAGCAGTAGAATTTCCCTTATGTAAGGAAAGTTTTCTAAATGGCATTTTAACTGCCTACAGTGATTTGCAGTAGGATACTTTCGGTTGCAGCCTTTAGGCTGAGCGTGGCTGTTACCCAGCTTGCTTGCAACCTGGGCAGAGAAATGCAGTACTGTTTGAACCTGTAAATCGTGACAGCTTTACCGAGATGCAGCTCTATGCATATAGCATTTCTCTCTGGATCCTTCACCCCAGGCATTTCACCTCACAGGGTCCTTCGAGCACTGGCAGCTGGGTTACTCCTCCTACCTTACCACATGCGGGTTGTGTATGTTGGGAGTGCAGCTGCAGGATCTGTCCCAGGAGACGCTCGGAGCTCTGAGCCGCTGGGCGGCCGTTTCAGCACCTTGGACAGCGGCGCCACCCACCACGGGCTGCGGCTGTGCTCCAGGTGCGCTGCGGGCAATGCGGGATGCACGACTGCTGGATTCAGTACACAGCTGGAACACAGAGCTTCTGGTCTGTGCTCCGACTCATCCGGCAGCATGCTCCGTGCCCTTGGAAGCGTTGTGTAGTGTTCACACTTCTAGTTTCTGTCATTCTTAACGGGGAATAATGTGGTGATGGCGGGTGAAAGATGTTGGATGTGTAAGTAGGACTTTTAGATGTTCATTTATTAGAGTGTGTTCTCTCACTAATAAGTTTCTGAGGAGGTTATTGGGAGTTTCAACTAACCATGCTGGTATCACAGGTACAACCTGTGAGTGGGAATTTTGAGTGAATCATGGCAAACTTGAGGCTCAGCCCAGATACTCATGCCCCTGGTGATTTTTGTAGTCTGTTGCTTGCACTCCACTGTTATGTTGATTTCCTTGGGCTGCAGTGCATGTAAATATTTGGCCTTGAAATAACTCAATGATGCACAAATAATGGACTAGAGGAATGACAGGAGAAACTGTTTTAGGTGAATTGTGGCTCATCCAAAAATTATTTATAGACTGCTCTCTATTACAGGATGCTATCTACCTGTCAATAAGCCAGGATGTTTACGAATCAACTGCTAGACTTATTGTCTTTTCTAGAGCACAAATGAGTTTAAAGCTCAGGGCTCACTTTGTATCTCTTCATAAGCAATAAAAAAAATATCTCACATTTCAATGAAAAATAGATCTCTCTGGTCCCAGCTGGTGTGTGGTTACTAATAAACCTTCCCACAATCAGAGAGGAAAGTTAATAAGTAATGTAGTCTTACTTTTGGTGTCAACTACAGCTGACTAAATGGAGATTTATGTTCTTAACTCATGCTTTTCTTTCATCTTCAGTCTCTTTACATCACACCTCAGTACTACTTTATAATTCTGCAGAACACTGCACAATCAAAAGCAAGAGTACGCAGAGTACTATGACGAATCAGGTCACCCTTGATCACAGTGCTCAACTGACTAGGAAAGAAGGTACAGGTCTATTAAGTGACGGTCTGATGCTGCAAAAGCAAAAGAAGAAAATCACAGTGCTTCCCTCTGCCTTAGTCACTCTGTAGTATGGAATCTACTTGAGTCAAAACAGTGATGGATCACTGTTGTGCAAGCCCAGACTGAACCTGGCATATGCATGGTTGTTGTATGTTAACCTCTATTGTATCATGATCCTTTTTTTTTTTGTGGGCACTTGTTATCAGGAAGTAAAGGTCCCTCTCAGTCCTCTACAGAGCCATGTAAGTGGTAGGTGCTATGTTGTGCAGTGTGAGCAACAGGTCTTCTGTTTAACAGATGCTTAAGTGTGAAGGTGTGGGCAGATATGCATCAATTAGACATTATTTGGAGTTTTATTAGGCATAACTTAATGACGCAGGTAAAATTGATGTTTACAGATAATCACAGTGCTTTTCAATCACAAAAATCAAAACATTGAGTGTTAAATTAAATTCTGTTACTATTAGCATACATTCGTAAAAACGTGGGTTGTTTTAAATGGTGCAGCTGCACATTACATTCAGAAAATAAATGAACTTCAAATAAAAAAATAAAACAAATATGTTAATACAAAATGGATATTTACAGATAATGAAGTTCACCACTGTCCAAAGAACCTCCCAGTCAGGCTTCTCCATCCTAGACACTTACATGCCTGAAGCTGCTCCTAGGCAAGAAGGAACTTCTCACATTTGCAGCAGCAAGAATAATGTTTTCTTGTTAAACTGTTATGAACTGTTCCATTGTGTGACAAAACCAAACAGGTATACCACAGCTGATATCAGAATCCACTCTGCTTATAGAGTAATAAAAAAGCAAAAGAATTTCAGTACTCATCTGGGGGCTGACTTGTTTATTGTGCATTGGCTTGTTTGCACTGCTCAAAAAATGATGCTGTTATGGGAAAAGAAAAAATAACCCTATATTTGCTTGTGTGTCTTTTGTTTCCTTTCCAGCATGTTCCTTCTACTATAGCAATCGGCAGTACTGTTCCCATGGAGCAGATGACAGACACCTTTTCTCACCCAGCTGTCCAAACCAGAACTTTGAGTTTGTATGTGCAAACAAGGAGCAGCACTATGGAACTCTCTGCCCAGATGAGCTCCAGTAGACCAAGCTCAGACAGAAATCCTTGCCACAAGATCTATACCTTTATTCTGAGCAAAACTCAGGAGCTCACAGCAAACGAAGAGGATGCACTCAGGTACATAATTCACTGAACTATGTTCTTACATCTATAGGCTGGTCCTCTTGTTATAGCAAATAGACATCTTTTTACAAAATGCTCTACAGGTACAAGAATTGTTTGCTTTCACTGAAACCCTACTTGGGATTGTATCAAAGATCTGACAGCTTTGAGCTGGTTCTTTGCAGAAGTTTTCAAATGAAGTGATCTGAAAAATGTGGAAAGGAAATGTCAAATGGAGAAATATTTTCTCTCTTTAGAGAAAACAAAACCTGATTAAAAGTTTGCAGACAAAACAAATAATGTATTTGCTACTGCTATTGACTGATAGCATTCAAACACAACAGCAATAGTATCCAGTAGCATTAAAATACATAGAACTTTCTCAAGTAAATTTTACAGCTGCTCTGGAAGACATGGTATCTACAGCTATGTTGAGGTTAATTCTCTGGTCACACTTCTATTTGCTATGTGCTGTTCATACCACATCACTGCGCAAAACATGGTTTCTCATCACTTATTCAAGTCAAGGTCAGGCATTTTCTAGGGAACATTTTCAAACTCCAGTGTCAAACATTTTCTTCAATGCTACCTTATAAAGTAAGGCAAGAAGAATAGTAGAAAATAATTGCCTTGAGAAAGAAATTAGCTGTTTGTAGGACAGTTTTTTCTTTTGCTTCCATTTGAATACAGAAAAGTACTATAAAAACAGTGGTCTTGTCTGACCAGATTTATCAGTTGGCCACATTTTTTACTGACTACAACAAAAGCCCAGAACAAATTACTGTATTTATTCCATATGTAGTGGTGGTATTTTTATTTCAGTGCAATACTGCCTACAATCAATACTTTCAAATTGGCGTAGGGCAGACTCCCACAACAGCTTTCAAAGTAACTATAGAGAAATACAGTTATTTAAGTCTTTTGGGAAACCACTACATGGAGAATCCCAAATAGTGCAATTCTAAGGCACGAGAGATAGTGTTATCCTTCAAAAATAAAATACCTAGTTCTCTATAGGAAAAAAAAAAAGCCCACTGGAAGGAAATGTCCACATGTGGTTATTTTTAACTTATGTAAGTTCTTCCTTACTGGGGCTGTTCTGAAGGCCAGAATAATCAAACTGCTCCCTTCATTTCCAATACTTAAATATCAAAATACTATATAGCAGAAAACAAAGGTAATATGAAACATTACCAGTGAACTTACTTCATGTCAGTTGACTTCATATAATTAGTAGTACTTAGAAAAATAAAAAAAGTCCTGCACACTGCTGGAGCACCTTCTTGCCAGAGGTTTTAAAGAATCATTAAGGCAGCCATAATCTTAGCTATGCCTGCCTGTCACTACTACCTGACAGTAAGAGAGAGAGAGGTAAGAAATGGTGCTGAAGCTTGTAGTTTCCAAACACTAACCACTACGTGATACTGCCTCCCCAAGCTAGGAGAAATGTAAACATTTCCCACAGGAAGCATGAAAGATACAGTGGAAAGAGGAAACAGTCCTAACTCTGGGCTGAGGTTGACTTCAGGTAAATCTCTGTATGATCTCATAAATCAGGACAAAAAAGTAAACAAGTTGTTCCCTAGAAACAAAACCTCTGGTTTCAAAAGTGCAAAATAGATCAAATGAAGCTGTACAAAGCACTTTTGAAGCCAGGAGTGGCTTCTTTCTATGAAAGCATCCAGTATTAAGCTGGTGAATGGGGAAGAAAATTGGTGAAAAGACTAGTGGGATGGTGCAGCTGAGGGGAATGCATCCTTTGCAAAAGTGCTCTGTGTGTGCATTAAGGATAGATGAGAAAATGTCTGTCACAAATATAATGGGCTAGGGACTTGGCTGGTGGTGGTGATGTCACTATTCCAACTGCATCTCCAAATCTAGTTCTTGTTCAGTAGCTTAAGCTAGTGAGAAATGGGGCTCTAACTTCTTAAACTCCTTTTATCTGGCAGATAAAAGACCTTTAAAACATAATAAACACTTTTAATCACAGCAAAGGGAAATCTAAATTTGATGAATCACTTGCAATTATGTAGCCTCCAGGCAATAGAAGCAAGTCTTAATCTTTTTCTGAAGTGCCCTCAAAAAATGACAGCACCATGTGACTGTGAGTAGGTCAATCTAATGTAACATACAAACAAAAATGCACAGGTTGCCTTAATCCAAGGCAATTTACGTAGCTAAGAGAGACCCATATCACTCAGACACTGCTGATCTTCAGCCAGAGATTTATGTCATTTTTGTCATCTGTGAATGTCAGAGAGATGCTGTTTCAAAGTGTATTCTCCAATCCCTTCCACTTTGATGAATGTGGGAGCAATCATCAGTGCTAAAAGTAGTCAGCGCTGATAATCATCAGTTAACAAGGAATAGCTGATGATAGAAAAAACACAATGCAAGAAAAAAGCATGCTTCTCAACACAGACACAAGAGAAGTATGTCCTGTACATATGTGGGGCAGATGCGTGTCCCACTGTGATCTGGAGCTACACCTGTGAAGATCTGGGAGGGAATAATGAGCATGTGTATAAAAGCAGCATTTAACAGAACCCAGAAGGACTTCTTTCTGCTGGCTGAACTTGTCTCGAGCACAAGATGAAGTGTCTGTTTCCTACATCCCTTGTGGCTGACCCTTGACACAGGTGCCTTATTCAGCCTGTTTGGGCACCCAGGTGAATCTCCATCCTCCATCATCTTCTCTGCGCACAAAAGCTTGTCCTTGTTGGAAGGTGTGTGTTCTCACATTGCAGTGAGGACTTAGAAATGTTGTGAAGGCCACTTCTGTTTTGTTAGGTGACAAACTGTTAGTCAAATAGGCTGGAAGGGAGGAAATGCTTGGCTCTGGTGAGGAGGTGTGTGGTGCTGAAGGAAACTGAGAAAGGAAGGAAGGGTCCTCACTGCACGGATGATTACTGTTAGCTGGAGGCATGTGGCTGCAGCTGTATGCTGCTGCCACTGCTTCACTGTGGTCATAGTTGATGCCTTCACCAGGGCCAAGGCAGTATGTGTCTCTTCCAAGGTCTGAAGTCAAGGCACTGTAGTTAGCTGAAGATTCATCAATGGTGTTGACATCTTTTAATCCTAAAGTCTCCAAGACCCAGCTGTCCACAGCATGGCTGGCTTGCTCTTCACAGGCAGTGAATTCATCAAAGAGGTTCCTTCTAGCTTTAGAAGCATGAGGAGTTTCTTGAAGAGCAAAGCAGTAGTCCTCTTTTAATCTCCTTTTGGTGTTTTTGAGAATAGCAGAGGTTTTTTGGCTGTGGCAGGATAGCACTTTCTATTAAAAATAAATTAAAAGATGGAGAGAGGTTAAAAGCTAATTTTTCTAATTAACAGTAAACAACATAATTCTGACCTCTAATGTTAGATAGGTAAGACAGTTACTACTGTCTCTGTAAAAGATACTTTCTTCCACCCTTCCTCCTTAGACGTATGGATACGAACTAATTATTTTGTCCTTACAGCCTCTGCAACAACACAGTCTCTATAAGAGAAGAATTTGACAATGTCAGTAAGGCCTGTTCTTTGATTGCATTCTCACTCAGTAAGGTGTGAAACAAGAGCTCCCACCTGGCTGTGCTGTGCTTCTGTGTTGGTGCTGCCAGCAGCATTTGGCAGGTGAGTGGGGTGTTGGGGGGGGAACATGGCAGCCTGACAAAGAGGGAGGATGCTGAGGTAAGTCATGCTGGGGCAGGTGTGATCTTGGCCAGGGAGCACGTGGAGCTGCAGCTGCTATGACTTTAAGAGTCTCTTTTCACAGGAAAGTCTGGAGTAGGTGTTGTTTGTTTGTTTTTTAAGAGGATCAGTGTTCTCATGCAAATAAAATGTATCATTGGAAGGTGACAGAAAAAAATCATAGAACATAAATCACCTAAAATGTTAAAAAAAAAGAAAAAGAAAAAGCTTTTCAGAAGGGGTAACTGACAAAGCAGGCAAATTCAAGAAATATTTTGATACATTCCAATTCGAACTTTTCACTGAAAAAACAGATTTGGGACATAATACTGTTACTTTCCTCTACTTACAACCTAAACTTAACCATGCTATGGGCTATACTGTCTGCATGGTTTGAACCTAATAGGATCTCACAAGGCAGGCTGTCTGCACTCCTAGACCTTCCATGTTTTTTAATGGCATGTATCTATTCAATTTGTTTCTTTTGCACATGTCTATACAACAGCTCTGAACACAATACCTTAGCTTTTTCTTCTAAACACTTAACCAGGGCAGAATTCAGGTATTGTCGGAGGTTATTATTTTCTTCATGTAACCTAGCAAGTTCCTCTTCCTTCTGAAGCAAAGTATCTTGAAGCTGTGGAATAGAGATACTGATGAATAGGTGTTGACTCTGTAACTTAATAGCAATTGCCCTATGGTACAGGCTGCTTGGATTTGATGAACAGGGTGTTTGCTTTGTGAACTCAACCCATCCCCTTAAGCCTCTTGCCTCTGTTAATCTAAGTGGCATGACTGTTGAGTTTTCACTTTTGACTTCTTTTATTCTTTATCAAGTGTTTGAAAAGATTACTCTGGGAAGGAATTTATTAAAAAAAAAAAAAAAAAAAAAAAGACTAAGTGCAGAATAACAGCAGAAAAGAATTACAGGTGAACAGTCAGAAACCATAACGGTCAAAACAGCAGTTACCAGATCTCCTCCTGAGATGCAGTAAGCATCTCTTTACATCCCTTTCACTCCACTCTGTAGTTGGTTGGTGGGGGAAAGGAGATGGAGCTGCAGGCAAACAATTGATAGGGCTTGGATGCAGAAAAAAGATGCAACTGCCATTCTTTACAGTGAAGTGCTACTGAGGTATTCCTTCAATCCTGGACACCACAATGCCAAATGAAGTACATATACAGAGCTGAGGTAACACCTGGTCACAAGAACTGAATAAGTATGTTTTATTTGCAGAGCCCTAACAGAGAATGAGTCTTTGCAGAGACTTCTGCTTCCTGACCACTGCTCTGGAAACTCTGTTAGGAGGACTAACGACCTCCAGTGATGGATCCCTGCTGACCACAGGGTGATAATTTAAATGATTGAGGTAGAACCAAAGAAAGCACCCTAACAAGGGTTTGATTACAGGAACCTTAAAGATAGTATAAAAGTTTCCATCAGCTTCATTGTATCAAAATACAATCCCAAGTATCTCATCAGATTGATCTTTCTGAGATTCTTCATCTGGAACGGGCCAGTATCATTCTGCTGCTTAATGTGATTTGCAAAGAAAAGAGGGAAAATAACAAGGAAATGCTTGCTGATTAAAATGATAGATCCTTCACGTGAGTAGGTGATTCTGGGGAGCCATGTCCCATGACAGTAATCGTCGTGGGTTCAGGAAGACATAGATAACATATTTCTAACTAACAGTAAAGGTTCTGCTACATCAGAGCTTCCCCAGCCGTGTCCCTGAGCTTCTGCAGTGCCAAGATGCTGTACGAAGGGAGAGACGTACAGGAATCCCATTCTAGCTTCGTGGAATGACACGGGGGTGACGCTCACGTCAAGAAAAGACCAAAAAACGCCCGAAAGCAGAAAAAGCCCTGTCTGCCACTGCCCTTCATGGAGCGGGGCCGTTACCTGCTTGTTCCTGTAGAGCTGGGAGGACAGCTGGTCTCCCCGCCACGCCTCCTCCTGGCCAACGAGCTGGGGGGCGAAGAGCCGGCCTGGGCGACAGCAGAGCGGGGTTAGTCCGCTCCGGCCGGCCGGGGCTGGACCACTCGCCCCCCGCCAGCGCGCACTTACCCGGCGGCCGCTCCTCCCGCCGGCCCTGGCCGTGCTCGGGCGGCCCCGCGGCGCAGACGGCGGCCCACGTCTCCTTGGAAACCCCGGCGAGGACGGGCCAGGGGCGAGCGCAGCCCTGGCCCCCGAGGAAGTCCGGCTCCGGGCAGGGCCGGCTGCTGCTCTGCGGAAGCAAAGGGTCGTAGTGATGGGGCGGCCGGCGGCTGAGTCCCCGTCCTCTGCGCGTACCGGGGTGGGAGGGAGGCGGTGTCAGCCCTGCCCGGCGCTTCCCCCCGTGCCGGCTGTGGTTCGCTCAGGTGCCCGGCGCAGGGAGCCCCGTGTGCCGCTCCGGGAGCCGGCCGCCTGCTCGCCCCCCTCCCGCTGGCAGCGCTCCGCAGCCACCCGCTACCGCCGCTGGGCACCGCGGTAGAGGGGCTCCGGGCAGTGGTGTGCCGAGAAGAGGGCTGAGTTTCCTGTGATCCCTTGGGAAATATTACGGTCCCGACCGAGTTAGAGGAGGAGAGGAGCTAGCCTGTTCTTGGCCAGTCTTTTCCTCCCACCTCGAGGGATCGATTCGGCTCTAAAGCTGCACAATGTTAGCAGTCACCTCCAGGCTGCTTGCTCTACTCTGCCCCCGCAGTTCTGCAGGAGTCCCAGACTGCACAGTAGCAGAGCCTGGGGTTGTTTCTTGAGTCACCCCCCTTCCCTCTTTCAAATAAGCACGATCTGAATCTCTGAAAAGCAACGGCGGAGCCTGGAGCCTCGAGAGGGGAAACTGCTCATCCAAGGGGAGGCACAGCAGCAGAGATTGCTCTTGCAGGTGGTGGAGAGCCGTCTTCCTTCTCCATCTCAGAAGGCACAAAACCTCCTGCAAGCCCCCAAGGCAAAGAGACCAGCTGCTCCTTTTCTGCCTCCAGGTCGAGAGAAATGCAAAGAGCACTTACCATGTTAGTGGTAGAATGAAATGCAGGTCTTGGGAGTACGTTTAAAGCCCCAGCGAGGTTTAAATGGCTCTGAAGGAGGGGGAGAGGGGGGAGACCGAGGAGGCGAGTTTAATCTAAAGGAGCTCCCAGTGACGCCTCAGAGCTCTCCTGAAACCCAGCAATCTGATTTGGTGCAAAGCTGTCAAACTTGTGACGTGAATAAACAGCAAACTTGCTGAAATCAAAGTCATTCTGGTCCCACAAATCAACACAAGGAAGGAGGGAAAAGAAAAGAAGGAGAGAAGGAAAAAAGCCTTCACACACTTCAGGACAGCACTGAGCTGGTGTGTCTGTTTCACTCTGGGAAATGAGCAGGGATCCTGGGAAGCATCCCACATATTCAGAGCAGGGCTGTTGGTGTTTGCTGTTGTTGTGTTTGTGGGGTTTTTTTTTTGTTGTTGTTGTTTGTTTGTTTGTTAATTTTGATTTGATTTGCTTGATTTTAAAGCTTTGCTTGCAGCTGTAAAATACAGCAGGAAGAAGCAAGTTTGACCAGCATGTCTGGCTAAGGGAGTGGGTTTTCCATGGCTTCCCAGGGCTGTGTAGAAGCAAACGTGATCCAAGCAGCTCTGTGAGCAGTTCTGATGAGGAAGAAAGTGTAGATTTCAGAACAACACAGTCTGCAATGACAGGCTCCTGAAACAGTCTCACTTTTTAGGAAATCAGTTTGCTGTTAAGCCCCAGGCTTCCTGGAGGAAACCTCAGGATAAAAATGCAGTATAAATGGTGTAAAATTTACTATCACAACTATAATGTGGCAAAAGTCATATGCGGGTGTATGAAAGAGAAAGATTGTCCGCATACACAGTCTGTTTAGAACTGACTCAATTCCATGACAATCAAAATCCATAAATAGGCTTTAAATTGTCCCAGGGGAAACAACAACAACAACAACAAAAACAAAACAAAATCTGAGGATAGTCTGCACAGGGGCTGGTGTGAATAAAGCTACCAGCAGAGCAGTTGGTCAGTCGAGATCCTGCTTCTGTCATGGCTAGAGCTATTGAAGGGAGGTAACCCAACCTGCTTGAGGATACAATCTGCAGCCAGTCAACGGTGAGGCTGAGCCAAAAGCAGGCCAGGCTGGCATATGGGATGGCTTTTCATTCCCCCCCAGAGGATGCTTGGTGCTGTTACCGTATGAGCAAGGCTCAGGGACAATAAAAACCAAGAGGGCCGCTTGTCAACCATTCTTTTCTTACTGGCATACTTTCCTAGGTTGCTGCCCAAGGTAAACTGGCAGCAATGCCAAATTAAATCACTGCCATCACCTCCCTTGATTATGTTTTCTTCCAACTGAGATATTTTATAAAGGGCTCATGCTCCAGAGCCACACCACACCCGGCCTCTGGTCACCTGGCTACAACAGCTTTCCAAACTCCAGCTCTGCATTCAATACATTCAGTAACTACTACAATATCCCACACTCTTTGGGTGCCAACACCTCTCCTGCTTGGCTGGAAGGACTCTAGCAAGGAACACAATGTCTATAAAATGCTTTCAACGGGCATCAAAGTTCTGCACTACCGTTCTTAGTGTGTTTTATTCCCTTCGCCCCCTATTAGGACACCTTGGAGGCCTCCTAGAGCACTGTGGAAGCGAAGGCTTCCCCACCTCAGGCGAGGACTGTGATCCCCAGGCCAGAAAGGGCCTGCAGGCAGTGGGCAAAGCGAAGAGAAACCACAGCCCCAAGGCCGTGGGCACCCAACAGGAGAAGGCCTGATCCGGGCAGCCCCAGGAAGGGCTGGAGAGGACAGCAAGCTCCTTAGAAGCGCTTCTTGAGGCACTAAGGCCCCATGGGGGCCTCCCTGGCTCCAGCAGCCCCTTTAGACGCCGCAGCCTCGGCCTCAGGCCGCCAGAGAGAGCGGCCATCTTGGGACGGCTCTGGAGGCACGCGAGCGCCGGGCCCGGCCATTGGGGGAGGCGATCGGTCCTAGTGACGTCATCACTAGGCGCCAGCACAGCGGGGGGGAAACGGTGGTTGCGGGGGGCGTTTCTGAGCTCCTGCTTGGGCGCGGCTCTTGGTGCCTCCACGTGGGCCGCTCTTGGCGTCTGCACGCGGCTTGAGGGCAACGTCTGGCCCTGAGGGGCAGGTGGAGAGGAGTCTGCAGTGGGAATATGATGGAGTGGGTGTTCCTGCATAAGGCTTGTCCCCTGTAGACTCCCTGGTCATTCTTTTAGTCGCAGGCTGCCCCAAAGCAGACCAACAGATACAGAATTTCCTTCCTGCTTTGTGGGTGTGGGGACAGGTGCTACTGGTCCACAGCTGCTGCTGGATGGCCGTTTTCCTGGCACGGTGCTGGTGGCTCTGTCTCTGCTTCCTCTTGGCAGAAGCTTATGCTCAGGCATGCTGTTTGCTTCTGAGAAGTGGGGCGAGGAGTATGGACACTCTCTTTGAAAATGAGGTATGAAGCAAACCTGTGGTCACCCCATTGTTGCATCTGTAGAGCTGGCATCATATTGGTTTTTACTGTTGGCTTTTCTTTCTCTGCTCAGCTAATTCTTTTTGAGTCCCTGCACTGTGGTTTCCATGCCTGAGCCTGAGAATTAGGGATGGTACATGGGTAAAAGACACCAAAACAGAGCCCAAGTTCCCATAGGTTTGGAAACATAACTTATGACTGACTTCCTGTCAGAAAAGGCAAATGCAGTTGGTCTAAAAGGAAAAAAGCTAATTTTGCGGGCTGGTGTGTGGGTGTCACAAATGATGATAGAAAAGCTTTAGGTCATGGTAGCAGTTACACATAAATATATTGTATAAAACAAGACCCAATAACAATTGCTTGCTAATTCTTTTACTGTTTGAGACAGCTGCTTGCTTTCATGGCTCTTACTGCTTGTTGTAGTTAATCTTGCACTGCAGTTGCAAATAAAGTTCAAGGATGAAACATTTATGAAGACTTCAGTATTACTGTTGGATTCAGTAGAGATATGCTTATTGGTTTTAATATCTACTATGTTCTTTAAATTTTATGATTTTTCTTATTATAATGATGAAAGTAATCCTCCTGGGATCTTTATTATGTGACTCATTTTTATGTAAAAATGGCTACAAAATTACATTTGGATCATTGTCAACTGGCTTCCAGAAGAGATGGTAAAGAGAAGAAAAAGAATATTTGCATATAGTTGAAGTCAGCTTTTATACCAGACTCACCTCTCTGTGTGTTACTTTTCATGCTAACACCTGCACAGATGTGCAGACTCACTCCAAATCCCCTTCATTTATTTTGTCAAATTGCTGCTACAGTGCTTCTCATCACTCTTAGGAATGATTAGTCTATCAGCAGCAAAATAAGGGCTGACATAATATGCCCAGGTATTGATCAGATAGTCAGGTACTAGAGTTATTTGGCATTTGCACGCATCTTTCCTGTTTTGAACTAAAGGTTCAATTAGGTGATTAATTAAGCCTGTTGAGCCTAATTTGCAAGAATGCTTTTTAATGGAAATTTATTCAGATAAAGGTTCTGATTATTTTCTGATCAGTCTTCCTTCAGGAGCACAAGCCTAAAATGCACTTCCCAAATCCAATCCCCCACTGTTTACTTTCGTGAACTTTCCAGTCCTGCTCTTAAAACTAATTAGGTTTGTTTCCTTATGTTATTCCCGCTGAGAGGCTACACCATACTTTCTGAGCTCTGACAGCTAGATGCTTTCTAGTTTCCAGTCTGAATGTATTCATAGCAGATATAATCCCTTTTGTCCTTGTACCAATATCTTGCTTTAGTTTAGGCAGTTCTCCTCTCTCTGTAGTGTTTGTCCTTGATGTCTTTGCAGAGTGCTGCCCCATACTGTCTTTTCCTATGTTTTTTAGGTCAGATAAGGCAGGCTCTTTTATAATTTTTCTGTTGTATATACACCACAGGAACCCATCTCAAAAGGTGTTTCAGCTGATGTTAACCTGTTTTTCAGATGAGTAACCAAAATTAATCTGTCTGCTATTTAATTTTAGAAAAAAGCATCGGTAAATCTTTTATTTCTTGCTGATACATTTTAGGCTGAGCTTTGTTTTCCATCACTGTCTCACATGAGTGACCTGTTTGGAAATTACTGTCAACTGGAACTATATCCACCTGTGGTCTTCATTTGCTGCAAATGCAGTTTGTCAGACTGAGCAGTTTGTCAGACTGAGCCCTCGGTGCTATTGGACTCAGCTCTTCTACTTTGATACTGTCTAGTACTGTGGCATTTCACACATACTTGGAAGCAATCAAATTCAAAAGGTAACTTCAGGGCTCTAAAAACCATAACAGTTTATGTGTAGTTAATCCTGGATTTTCTTACAGTAAGGGTAATGAGTTGATGGATAAATCTGTGCTATCCTGTTGTCATTCTTGTGGTGGCTTCAAAACTATCTTGTTGGAAATGAAGGCACACAGTATATTTAGGCATCTATGATTGGGTTTCCCTGTTCTCTGATGCATTTTGGATGAGATTTATTCCTGAAGGATCTCCAGAAGTGAATTTGGCATTACCAGTGTTTAGTTTGCTGTGTTCTAAAAAGGACTGTTTTTTTACTCTTCTAATGAAATAAGATCTGTTTTAGGAGCAACATGGAAAAAGGGTAACATTATGATAATATGGAATCTTAACTTGAATAATGGATATTATTTGATGGGTTGCATTTAAACAATGAAAAAACAGATGCGTATCTGTCACTTTCATTTCATCTTGAATGGTTGCTGTGATATTTGTGGTCTTTTAGAAAGTGTCTTAGAGTGTTTAAGGTGCTGAGGAGATTATATGCCTCCAAGTTTGCAGTCATCTTCCCCATTATCCTCTGAACAGCAGCAGTGCAAGGAACTCATTATCACCCAATGCAGACACTAGGATGTTGAAGGGATGTTCTTTATTGAACATGCTTAATTTTGAAGTGGAAAATCACATTACCACTGTGTCACACTATCTTGTAAAAATAGATTTCTGTGGATTTGTAGCCATACTTCAGATTTACCCCCAAAACACGAAACTTTTATACAAGGTAATATGCTTCTTATGCATAAGAATATCTTTGTAGATGAAGTACGTAATCAGTGTGTTTAAATAATTGAGTGATATCTGTGTGCCTGGTGTTGTGTGCACAAGTATTCCTGCATCTTCTGTTAACAGCTCATCTTGGTTCTCTCCTATGGATGTAACTGTTGTTTTTAAAAGGGATAGAAGTTCCATTACTTGAACCATGGGTAACAAACTGTGATGAACCAGAACTGGAAGGGACTTATGAGTCATTTTGTCCCATTTCCTGCTTTCATTACACAGTCAGTTCATGAAAAAACCCTCACAAGTTTTCTCTTACGACACTGGTACTACATCTTACTCCTTGGCAGTTCAAAATATACTCTGACTTCCAATCTAAATTTATTCATAGGGATTTATGTCTCCTCTGCCATTTTTGGATTATGTGTTATGTGGTTCTTTTTCATCCTGTGTGTCTGCCATCTTGATGTGCTTCTAAACAGTAATCTATGTTGATTTTGTCTGATTCTCTGTAATCATTTTTCTGTTTTCCTGATCATCTGTGAAGCAGCACACCTCTTCCAGTTAGATCTCATTTTTCCTCAGTGTGAGTGACCATATTTTTTCACAGCCCTCTAGATTTCAGTCCATTGTATCTCCAGATTCAGGAGTGAAGAATTATCCCTTGAAATGGAAAGATGAAATGAAAACAGTGCTGTTTTTAGGCAGCATGAGATGTTTGTGTAATTCACTGCTGTACATTGTTGTTGAATGTCAGAGCATCATGATAATAAAAAGAAACTTTTCATTCTGTAATTTTCTTGTAGATATTCTGTCACAGGAGGACACTGCAGTGATGTCGTTTTCTATAGGCATGTTAACTCAAGTAATTCTCTGCATCTTTGTGTTTCAGTTCCTCATCTGTCAGTTGGGAATAGTGTGTCTGCTTAGGTGTTATATTAGTGTAATTAAAAATGTACTCGTGTAGCCCACGGCCAAATGAATCCCTTTGTTCTTGGCTATTACCAAGGGCTCCATAAGTCAATGTTAATTTTAAACAGCAAACATTTTTGCTGAATTTTTGGGACTATATGGGAGTTTTAGCATCAACCCTGATGTGGTTTTCGAACTGAAGCCTCCTGGCATGGCAGCAGCAGCATACTACTAGCATATTTATTTTTCTCTAGCCAGAGATTACCCCTGAACTGAGTTGCCATGTTGCAGCTAAGTAACCTCTTCATCACAGAGTGGTGAGTCTGCAGTGTAAACAAGTGCACTGAGGTAGACCCATGGTTAAATGAAGATCAATATGACAGCTTCTCATGACTGCGTTATGAGGGTTGACCATCACCATTTTGATGAAACTGCTGAGAGTTATGAGTGAAACAACGGTGTGCTGAAAGCCATGTTTTTCTCCATGGTGTTTTGTATTGAAGTCAAACTATTTTTGCAGGGAGATCTGCCAGAAGAGCTTAGCTCATGGGTTTCATGCAGTGGAATGAATTTTCATGGGACCAGAAGCAGAGTTGAATGGAGCTGTGTGTAATCAGCTGCTGGTGTGTGCATCTGCCTGCTTCATGACCTGGTCTGTGAGCTGTCTAGTGTGCACTGTGCTTCCAGTACCTATGTGCTGGGCTTCACCTATTTAGTACTGCTTTTCCTCTCGGCTGGTGCTCGGAGTTGGCAGTCTGGCTCCCCTCCATCTCTCTTTGGGTGTAGTGCAGGGCACTTTCCATTCTTGGCTGACGACTGGGAGGCTTGGCAGAGGTCTCTGATCTGAGTAAATATATGTGAGGGCATCTCTTCATTGCAGAGCTGTATAGCATTGCCTGTCCTAATCAATAATGGATGAAAGGTCTTAGGATGTGTGGAAATGTGTTGGGGGTCAGAAGGTGAAGGATGTTGTTGTCACAAGCTGAGAAAGATGTCAGGGTTTTTGTGCGTGCTATTCAAAGGCTGAGTTAAAACAGAAAGTCACTAGGGAGACGTTCTAGTAAAGCAGCTCTGTCCGTATACATAAACCCTCCAGCTCCTAGTCCGTGCAGGTAGTGTTCGATGAACTGGTGATGAAAAGGAATTAGCTGGCTGGTAATTCATCTAAAAGATTGGCAGAGGATTTTATAGGCTTACACCAGAGCTGGCTGGAGACAATAATCTCTTTTCTCAAAGAATGCTAAGGTCCTGACGCCCAGCTCGTTGGAATGAAACCTGAATGCTTTTTAATTCTCTGTGAAAGATTTTTTTTTTCCTCACTGGTTTTTGTTTTTAGGAAGGAACAAAATGTTTCATTGTGATTTTGTCAATGATTTTGATATAATGGATTAAAAGAGTAAATGTCTTCCAAATACCAAAGCTTTTTAAAAGAAGAATTCCATTCCAAACACATCAGAGCTGTTTTCTCCTCTGAATTTTTGCTGAAATTTCATTTTAAGGAAAAGTTTATACACTTCGGTGGCAGTGTGAGCTCCCTTGCGGCAATGATGTGCAGCAGAATTTCTGCTAACAGGATTTTTCATACGGTTATACTTTATGCTGTCCTGGAGTTGAAAGGGGCAGGGGGGAGGCTTGCGTCCACTTGGCAGCCTTTTACAGTGCCAAAGCGATGTAAAAAGACCTCCGAGTGCATAAGAAACAAGAGAAATCTTTGGTTTTAACTGCCCCTGGATGAGTGAGCAGGATTGATCAATGCTTTACTGTAGTTTTACACTTGCACAATTCTTTTGCAAACTGTAATAGTACAGAAGAGAAAGAAACAAAGTTAGTAAGGTGCTACAGAGGAGGCTTTGGAGAAGGGACATCTGGCTCAAAGTTCTTATGCCACAGTCTCTCGATAGGACTAGAAGGAAGGGAAACTTAAATGGCAGCTATTAGAGTTACCTGGAGGCTCTAGTGGGCTCTTTTTTGTCTTATTTTTCTATTTCTTCCTGGTCAGTCAGAATTGAGACCCCTTGCCAGCCACACAACACCAGTGACTGATCTGCCATTCACAGGTAACACTGAAGCTCAGCAGTTTCCAAATGTGCACACTAGGATCCTTGTTTGTCAGATCAGCTTTAGCTAACTTTTCCTCTTACGGTTGGAAAGGAGTGTTGTTATTTGAAAAACAGCAAGTTTGTCTGATGTGATACTTTTCAGTGTCAGCATGTCACCCTCCAGGTCTATTGCTTCTTCATTCTGCAAAAGGGGTGTAGTGTCAAAAGAGACTGTGGCTTGCAGTAAGAACTGCAAATGTAGGGCTTGTGTAGAAAACCCAGTGGTTTCTCTAAGGCACAGCTTTCAGAAAATGAGTCCTTGTTTCTGTAGAGCTTCATCACTGTTGGTTCTGAGGACTTTTTGATAGCCTTCAGCAGTCCACTGTATTTTTTTGTGTACCAATTTAGAACAAAATATGTCATGAAGAAGATGCTATTTTAGATATTCTACTGATGAATATCCCTCTGCAAGTGCAGGTATTTTAATTTTCAAGAACCATATTGAATATATACTGTGAATGAGGAGGGTAACTTGTTGCTGAAAATGTTTTGGTCATCGTGCACCTCTGCATGGTGATGTTTAATAGAAATGTGCAGTATGTGGACACTAGAGGGCTTGCTAGCATCCCTTCTCTGGTCCTGCATGTGCAGGTCGAGCTTGTTCAGTGGGATACATGAGGGAATCTTTGCTCAGGTTCTTGCAAGTCGATTTAAGTCTTGAGGGGGAAACTGAGGACTACAAAAACATAAGGTTCTGCTCACCCACTGCCTCAGATGAGGCTGCGTAGGAGAGTTCTGATAGTCCCAAATACTAGAGCAAGGAGAAAAGTGACTTTATTCTTGAGACAGGCTTGGAACACTGTGCAGTTGTCTTTCATTTATTCACTGAATGCGATTTTGCAACAGATTATATCCATTAATAAGTCTGGCTCTGGATATGTGTATATGTATGTCACAAACAGTCACGTTGTTTAACAGCATTTTCCAAATTCAAAAGAATTGGTTAATTTTATCTAATGACATTAATGGAGCAATAGTGCTGTCAGCCCATTTTTTAAACAAAAGGAAAAAAAAAGCTTTTTTGGTACTAAATGAGTATTGTCCATGTAGTGTCAAATAGCATAAGTCAAACTACCTGAGTCTTGAGACAAACTTTAAAGTTGGTTTTTTTTTTCTTGTTTTGTTTTTGTCTATTATGATTGAATTTCCCCAGGTTCAAATATTAGAAGTGTGATGTTTTTTGTTTATTTATTTTTATAACAACTATAAGACCTTTAATGCAGATGTTCTTAGGTGATTGTGTAAATACAATTATTTCTTACAATGAAACATCTCTAGTGTGGAAAGTAATAACAAGAAAGTATGGATGTAGTATGGGGATGTGTATTCAGATTCTGCAGACTTGATTTCTAAGGTTATGTTCTGAAGTGTGTATTTCATGCAGGTATTTAAAGTGAAACAAAAAGACCAGGAAGCCTCTTTATCTACTTGTGTTTTATGGGATCTTGACTTCTAACTATTGCAAATTTTTAAAATATAATCTTTTTTGGAATAACGTAGTTCTGTTTGGCTTTAATTCAGGTGTGTCAGTGATGGAGGAGATTTGATGCATGCCTGTGGCTTTGTGGCCAGAAGCACTCCTGGATTTGTCAGCATAGAAGAGATGATAACCAGGTAACCAGCCGAGTGGCTTCTTGAGATGATAAATTGGAGGAAGATCAGGAGGTAGCAACATCACAACCACTTCTCACCTTGTAAGTGCATTTCAGAAGATCAGTTGATCCTGTTGCAATCTTTGAAAGTGAGGTTTTAGTAGCGGGGTTGTGGAGCTAAGGTTTAAATTGATGCTCCCCTCTGATGTTCAAAAGGCAGAAAACAGCAGAATTATATGTCAATATGAAGCCACTCTAGCTTGGATGTGTCAGGTTCTGAGCGTAGCTGAGAGAGTGCCAGTTCCTGAATTTGCATAGGGGCAGAAGTCCTGTGCTGTGGAGAGGAGAGTTTCTAGATGTGCACAGGCAACTGAGGAGTTCTATCTCCCAAAGACTTTCTAAACTGGGCAAAAAAGGAAAGGGTGGTTTTTGAGGCACTTCCTCTGTCTTTCAGCATCAAGTGCATCTCTTACCAAGTACAAGTTGCTAATGGGAGCAATGCAAACAGGAACTTAGTTTCAGTTACATGTTCAGTACAGGAAGATGAAAGCATTAGTGATCTCCTGAGGTTCAGACTGGAGCATTGAGCTGCTGTGTAGGCTGCTGGAAATTCAGTTGTTTGTAAGATATACCCTAATCGTGTGACTGTGTACTCGAGAACCAAGTTGAACACAATGTTATGCACAGCACACTCACCTCCTGATGATGTTTCACAGAATCACAGAATCACAGAAACACTGAGGTTGGAAAAGACCTTCAAGATCATCCAGTCCAACCATCCACCTATCACCAGTAGTTCTCACTAAACCATATCCACCCAGTCTGTCTCACACTGGTGCTGTTGGCTCTAGTTCCACTTTACTTACTCTCTGAGCTACTGCTTAACATTGTGTTTAACTGGTTTAGAAACAAATGATATCACTGAGTCCCTCCCCTTCAGTGTCTAACAATAAACCTTCAATCACAGCACTGGGCAGTAAGACAGAATGGCTTTGAAAGTCAGGGTGCTACTAACAGGCAGCCTTCCAGCAATGGGTTAAGCAAGGCCATCTCTGTAGGCTGTTCCTCACTAGTCTTTTGTTGAGTTGACCTGCTAAGATTTTCCCTCTCCTCCTACCCTTTCCTCTTTCTTTCTTTCTCTCTTTCTTTCTCTATTCTTTTTCTCAAGTCTCTTGATTTCATGCTGGCTTTTTAAATTGAGGGTAAAGTTAATTCACTGCACAATGCCACAGCTGGAATGAAATATGGCTGGTCGCCCATGTGGCAGGGAGGAGTGCCTGCTGGCTGGGGCTGGCTCATTGGATCTCCTAAGGCCACTACGGGCTGTCGCTGATTTATTGGTAGAGCCTCTAAGCAACAAAGCAAGAAGTTAACTAATTATGAGCATATGGTTCAGCTCATGCTTGACTCAGCAGACACCTTGTTAGCCTGGGGCTGGCTAGGTGCTCAGAAGCAGAAGAGGAAAGTTTTGGGTGGAAGTTGTGGTCCAAAGTCCCACTGGCAAGCCAGAGGGAGACTTGATTGATCCTAATCTGGCTTTTTTGTTAGGAGGCAGCATGCTGCTGTCAGGAACAGCTTGGTAATAACAGATTTCTGGCCTCTAAGTCCTTGTGGTTATAGTCAGCACGCGACACTCGGTCGGCTCCTTGCATGCTCTGTGCTTAATTGGTCTCAATGGTGGGGGCTGAAATGAGATGGTAGTTCAAGGTGCAACACATGCTATACCTGAAATTGCAGCCTGTGAGCTGCTGCACAGATGTCAGCTTTTTACCCACGGACTTACCACTGAGTGTTCCTACAAAAGGTGACAAGGGATGTCTGAGAAAATCTTGCAGATTTTCAGTGCTCAGTATGAAATTAACTAGACGGAAATTTAGAGAAGTGACCGGTAGAGGAAGAAGGAGGGAGATGCACAGAACTTAGGAAGTTTATCAAGGTGAATTTCAATGTCTTCGTTGAGTGGCCAGCGTGCATAACTTGGACACAGGAGAGTATTTAGTGGGAACAGTTATCACCAAGGAGGGAAGAGGATGTTTCTTCCTGTGCATCTGTTGGTCTTCTACAAGTGAATTGAGCTGTGCCACAGGATTCAGATCAATGTACTTAGAATCTATTTTTTTTTTTTTCTCATGGGTGTGCATGGTCTCCAGGAAGTGCAGGCTTGTTGCTGACTGGATCGTACTGGGGTTAAAACAGTTTAAGGATTGGTATAGTTTTCCTGACTGGAAATGCTGAGGATAGGAAGATAGCAATTTTGCTGTTTGGCAGCAGAAAGAACTCCTAGGACGAATGATTTCACACAGCCAACAAACAGGTTATATGTGACTAGACAGAACAGAAGCAGGCAGGCAGTGGAGGCTATCTGTACACTGGAGTACATTAGCAAGGTCAGGTGGCCTAGTCACCTCTGCTAGACAGTGGTGAAGCTGCATCTGAAGTACTGAATCTAGTTCTGTTCTTCACAGGACCAGACAGGATTCTTGCTCAGAACAAATGGCAGCTGGACCCCAGCCTGGGGTGACACGGCACTGTTAAGGCAGAAAGTTATGGGGCTAAATAAATCCCCGTGCCTCAACAATTTCTTATCACTGATTTCAAGAGGATGCTGCCAATAAGTTGAGAACCAGAATGTGAGAAGCCGCTGAATAAACTTGTGTGGCTTCTGAAGGTAGTTAGAGCTCATCTGGCTGACAGTACTGCTGCAGGCTGGAAGCTCTAATGTGGCTTGCACTATGGATTCAGGATGCTGTGATGTTAATCTCTTCTTAAGTCCTCTAGAGGAAATGGAGGAATAAATTCTTAAGCTATTAAAGCTGTTCTTACAGTGGATTTCTGACCAAAGCCTTGCTTTGTATTTGCTTATAGGGAGTTTCTCTGACAGAAAGCTTTGCCTTCAATTGTAACCAAACAGCAACAGTTACTACTTATGAAGATTGCTATATCAGCTTGTCTGTTGTGATGTATATTAGACAAAGAACTGAGACTAAATGTTCAGCCTCGTATTCTCAATAATTCTCATTTGTATTGCTCCAATAGTGTGCGGGAGAGATCCACATGAAATAGCACTTAAGCCTGGTGTAACACCTTATTAGTGTGTGTGCATGGTGCAAAGCACCTTTGGAGGAAATCAAAACTGCGACTTGATGCTTGCCTGTTTCTCTCAGAATCCATTTCTCTTTGATTCTTTACTCAGTGAAGCAGAGAGGAACAGTAGAGACCTTTTCAAGGTGGTTTCAGCATTGCTCACTGTGGAAAAACAGCCACTGCTTTGATTTGTAACAAGTGCAGGATATTTCAAGAGATCAGGCAATGTTCATGAATATTGAAAGGAATTGAGCTCAGGTTTGAAAGGGTTTGGATCAGTAAGAGATTTTGTACCTAACTCAGAAAGGGAGCTGGGGATAAAGATTAGGATTTAAATAATGATCCAAAAATCCTGTATGATACTTAGAAATGTTTGAATATGAAGTCCAATTTCAAACTTGCTGCCAGGGAGATATCCCTGCTGCTGTTTTAGAAGAAGCTTTTCTGACTTCTTTTTGAAGTTACTGTGACAGACAAATTACATCTGAGTAGGAATTCTATACAGTTTAGCTGGCATCAAACAGAAATTGGGAATCAGCTATCATAGTTATATAGGCACCTTATAGTCTCTGAAGTTGGCTGAAAAGGAAAATGTGAGCAGGACTAGTGCCAGCAACAGATGAAAGGCAGAAAAACTATGTTGTCAGTCCTTACAAAAAGAAAGCCTGCGTTCGATGCAAGTAGTAAAGAGTTCCTATTCAAGAGTCAGACTCAAAGCTTCTGTACTACATGAGTTAATAAAATGACTTGTCTCTTTGTCCAGATGTTGAGCAAGTGTCGCTACAGCTGTAGCTTCTTACCCATTTCTTTTTATGAGAGAGCTTTACATCACTACAGGCAGAATTCTTAGGTGCACTCTCTGACAGAATTCACTGTTTCCCTGTCTCTTAACTTTCTTTGGCTTCCCGGCTGAAACCCTAATCTAAGCAGCTGCCATGTCACAACACTCCTGTTTTGACACCAATTGCTGCTCCCTTTCCCACTTAACACAGATGTAGTCATTAGGATGACTTGCATCCTGCTGCAAGCAATATGTCCGATCTTTAACGTACAAAGGTATTGTTTAAAGGGCTCTAAAGATTTTGAACAAACTGGCCTGGCAGGGGGACTTTCAGCTTCCCCTCCCTTATGGGGGCAACAGCCTGTGTTTGTAAACAGAGCCTTACAGGACTAGTGGGAGCCACTAGAGGACCGTCAGCTAGTTAATTGGATGTCAGCTCCCTGCCGGGGATAAAGGCTAATGAGTCATCCTGCATAAAGAAAACGGCCCAGAGAGAAAGGCAAAGAATTGCACAGCAATAATCACATACACAGAGAAGCCCGCAGCTCGCTTGTTGGGATAAAGGCAGGGCAGCATCTGGGGACAGAGGGCTTCCCTGTTTGGTTTTAGTTAAATAGAGATTAAGCAGGTTATGAATCTATAAAGGTGAGATATTGTTGGTGTGTATTACATGTGAGCATGGATGCATGAACAATTGCTCTGTATGCAATATAAACATTTTTAGCCCTCGTATTTTTGCTGCCTTTATGTTTTCTTTCATCTTTACAAAGTTCAGAAATCGAAATGGCTTTCTAATGGGGAGTTTACTGCAGGAAGTAACAAAACGGAATCATGAAAGGAAAACAGCAATCATTATATCAAGCCGGAAAGTTACTTTTTTTTCCTTGTGAAAAGTGAAATCAAACAAACAATCGAAAAAGCCTGCTGAAAAAATGTGTTCTAAAGGGATGAGGTTTTTGTTGAGAACCTAACATTTTGCAAAAAGGATCCGTTTTTATAGAATTCAGCATTTTGTGCGTAAATATATGTCAGTGTAGTTACATGGAAAAAAATGGAAGCCTTTTTATGTGCATTCTTTTCAGAGGATGAATGAGAGAAACACTTTATTTTGGCTTTAAGTTTTATAAAAAGGACATATGTTGCCATTTTATTTTATTTTTTTGCCAAAGAAAGGGCTAATAACAGAGAAATAGGCAGACATACAAAGAAGATAATACAAAGCTTAAAAGAATCTTAC